TGAATAATAAATGCTTTGTGCATTGTTTTCCTCAATACTTTGTTTTAGAGATCTGATTTATTTAACTTCATAAATATTGATATAGTTCATTCATTTTAATTGCCAGTTAAAGAATACAAAATCATCATTTAAAAATAAAAAGGTTAAAGAAAGTACCATAACCATACCATTCTGCAGTCAACATTTTTGTATTCTTGTCATATTTCTTTTTAGATTTCCTTATGTAATGTTTTTTCACCCGTTTATAATGTGCATAATGTTTGTAAATTTTTTTTATTGGTTAACATATTGTGAACATATTTTCAAAAAAACTTTCCCCCCCAGAAATCATCATTGTCTTAGTCTCATTGCTGGATACTGGGGAATTTCCAATTCTTTGCCATAATCCCACAATATCCTAGCTAATGTTTTGTTTTTACTCCTTGGAATAAATTCATAGAAGAGAAATTGCTTGAGCAAAGAGATGCACATTTTAAGGTATTTTAATGTCTATTGCTAAGTTCCCCTCCAGAAAAAGGTTGTAATGATTTATATCCCCACCTGCAGGATATGAGAGCGTGCTTCTTTCCCTCCTTGCCAATAGGGTAGGGTCAGATTTAATCATTAGAGACTATTTCCTGCATTCTGTCATACTCCTTAAATGATTCAACAGAGCTGGGGACACAGTGGGAACTAACAAAATTGTTTTGATAAATTGATTAATAAATAGTATTCTTGCCAATACTTATGACTACTGATTTTTAAGTTAATAATTATTCATTCACTCAAAATATTTATATTACATGCGATGATCCTTGTTCTGCCTACTGAAAGTGAATACAGCAGTTAGAAATGAAACAAAATCACTGAGTCACAAATTAAGACAGCGATAACTAGTTTCAAAGGTAGTGTGTGTAGAAACTACTTTTAAAATGAAAGCTGTAGTTTAGCCCTAAGAAGTCCCTTGGGAATAAACAATTTGTCTCATTTTTCTAAGAATAGGAAGTACTAAAAATGTATCCTTTGGGGAATAGAACTATGAATTTAGGATATGAAACCTTCCCATCCAGAATCAGGGGAATTGTGCCAGAGATGAAGTCAAAACCTGGTGTGGACTTTCATAGTCCTTTCCTAGGGTAGAGGGAAATAATCACAAAAATTTCCGGGAAGAGTTTTCATTCCTGAAAGCTTGTTTTACTTAAAGCTATCTCAGGGCTAGGGTGTCTAGATGGATGTTCTAGTCACTTAGGTAATTTAATTCTACAAGGCTCCTGGCCGATTATAAAATAAAATAAAAAATCATACTAAGGTAATAACCAGTGCTACTTTTCCAATGTACAAATCTTCTCACTTTATGTAAAAGTAATCATTAAAAAGTAGCATGGCTTTAAAGGTAATTGATTTGAAACCTCATTTTAAAGAATATGTCCCATCATTCTTTTATAATATTTTTCTCCCTCTGATTGGCTGATGGAGCTAGAATGAGTTTGCAGCTCATAAAGCATTATGTGATGGAAAGAGTGTGTGAGTGGGGTCAGAAGATAGGGACTCTACTCCACTGTCTACCACTAACTTTAGGCAAGTCACTTCATCTCTAGGGGCTATTCGTTTTCTCTACTATAAATAAAAAATGTGGCTTAAGCCAGCATTTCCCAAAGTGTAGTCTATGGAAAACATAACTTATGGGGTGTTTCGTTAGAAAAAGCATTTCATGTTTCAAGAGAATGGACTCCATATTCTTCCCTTTACCCACTAGACCAGTGGTTGGCAAACTCTTTGGTCAACAGAGTGGCAAACTGCGGCTTGAGAGCCGCATGTGGCTCGAGAGCCGCAGTTTGCCGACCACTGCACTAGACCATGTGCTTTTTAACAGCAGAAATCACCTTGGGTGTCTTTCTTGTCTTTGTATCTCTAGGTCTTAGAGCTCAATAAACACTTGTGGAATGGATGCTTTCCTGGTGTGAAGGAACTAATGAGAACTTGCTTACTTTTCTCCAAGGCTGAAAGTTACTTCGTTTCCTTTTCTAATTAGCCCTGGAAGGAGAGAGAGTTGGCTCAGAGCTATCTAAAAAGCACTCAATGGTCTATTTTTTTTTTTTAAAGTATATTTTTATTGATTTCAGAGAGGAAGGAAGAGGGAGAGAGATATATATCCATGATGAGAAAGAATCATTCATTGATCTGCTGCCTCCTGCACAGCCCCCACTGGAGGGGGTTGGAGAGAAGGTTGGAGCTGTGACCTCCTGGTTTATATGTTGACTATCAACCACTGAGTCATGCAAGCCAGGCTCAATGGTCTATTTTTAAAGATTTTGAATGAAGTGAATTATCTTTTTTGTTCAGTAGTATCACAGCCTACTGAACAATGACAGGAGGGATTTATTAGGTTTGACACTCAGATGTGTCTAATCTCAACAAACCTGGTTATAAGGGAGAGAGGGTGAAAGGCTATAGTCAGATTTGTGTAAGTTATCACTTATCAAAATATTTTCATTTATTAATTTAAAAGATACTCATTGTGGAAGGTATTATGGGAAGATATAAAGATGAATACATAGTTGTATTATATTTATTGGGGAATATCATAACTTACTGAAATAATTATAGAGATAATGAATAATGAATTCTCCAAGAAAGGAACAAAGGCTATAGGAATGCGTCATCAATACCATCTTCATTTATAAGATAACACTAGGGACCCAGTGCATGAATTTGTGCACCTTGAAAAGAACTGTGGGCCTCAAGGCTGTGATGTGCACAGGGGCGGGTCTCAGCTCATCCTCCATGCCTCTGCCCAGCCCCTCCCACTGCGGCTCCTGGTCCCATCTGCTGGCAGCCCTGCTCTTGCTGCCACCACATTGACGATGCTGGGCCTGCTTGTGTGCACAGCACAGAGCAATTGAAGGAGCTGCCAGCAGCAGGTGCGAGTGGGGCCGGCACTGTCAGCAGGTGCTAGCGGTGGCTGCTGCCCTGATCACCACTCAGGAGCAGGAGGAGGTAGAAAAGCCCTCAGGAGTGATTGGGGCCAGCAGTCACCCCTCACACCTGTTGATGGTGCCAAACAATCAGGACCGGCACCAGGCACCAGCAGTGGTGCAAGAGGCAGCTACAGTGCCAGCAGCAGGTGCAAGCAGGGCCTTCGCTGGCAGCAGGTGCAAGAGGTGGCTTCCAACCCTAACGTCCCTCAGGAGGAGATGGAGGTACAGAAGGCCTGATGGGTGATCAGGGCTGGCAGTTACAGTTAGCACCCACTGATGGTGGCCAAGCAGCAGGTGTGAGCAGGGCCAGTGGTGGCAGCAGTTAGTGAGTGCCAAGCGAAACTGTGGTGCACGGGAACAAAGAATTTTCAGTAACCACCAGAGGCTCGTCCAGATGACAGTGACCAGCGCTCTACCTTGGTCTAGCTCCCCTGCTCACCTGCTCCACCATCCCACCTGCTGCCAACGCCTGCCATGTTCCGAGAGTGCCCCCCCTGGTGGTCAGCCCACATCAGAGCGACTGGTTGTTCCTCTCCAGTCTATTTGCATATTAGCCTTTTATTATATAGGATTATTCTGCACAAGAATATTAAAGCACCTACTCAACTTAAAATACAAAAGTGCACATTATGTCTCAAGTAGATAGCTCAAGTGTGAAATGCAGCTCATGATTGTATTGTGTGGCTCTTAATACCAGTTTGAAGCAGATTGTGTACCAGTTTGGAACAGATTGTGTAGGGGAAAAAAGACCAAAACCACTTGAAAGTCCTCAAGAATAGCAGAGAGAAGGAATGTAATTAGCCAAATCAAGATTCGGATCCAGGACAGAGAAATGAACACCCTCGTTCGCAGAAAAGGAGCCAAGATCTCAGAAATGTACAGTCAATTCTTCATTTGTGACAATTCAAGATACTGGTACTTTCACTTAGCAAGCCGATGGAAAGATGTGAAAAAAAGCAACGAATTCCAGGTCACATCCTGACTTGTCAATTGTTTGAATGCTGTCAACAAACCCTGCTTTGCATGTAGCCAGTCAAAAATGATCTTATTTTTTTCTTCCTTCAATCCACTTTATGAGATCAAAACAAAGATACAAATGAGAACTTAAAAGTCAAGTCTGCCTTAGAATAAACAGTATCTGGATAATTCAGAGCTTGGTAATAAGAAAACGTGCCAACACCTTCCTCCTAAGCAATCTCAACAAGGGAAGTGTCAGCTATGAAGAACCTAAGGTAAGCAAATGTCAACATTAAAAAGTCCTTCAAGATCATTGCCATGTCCAATTTTTAAAAATTAGAGAATGCATTTTCCCAATTTTTAAAAGCTTCCCAATATAGTGCACGAACCGTAGAGAGTTGTTGCCCAAAATGAAAGGATTATTTTTTATTTAAAAACAAACAAAAAAAAGCCTCAGGTTGCCAGGACAGTGGTCCGTTAGGTGCCTAAGACCACACGTGAGGCGCTGCTGGGGTCCCGGTTCTCCGCACAGAGGGGCGCGCAGGCCGGTCCGGGATCCGCTCCGGCCCCGGAGTCCCTGGGCCGGACCGGCAGGGGCCGCGGGCCCGCTTCCCGGGGGCGGCGCCGGGATTTTCCTTCCTCCCCATTCATTCTGATTCACCGGCTCCCGCAGGGCGCTCACCGGGCGCGGAGGGAGGCGGAGCGCGGATGCCGGCGGGGCGCGGTCGGGCGCCGGAGGGGAAGGTGAGCGGGCGGGGCGGGCGCTGCCCAGGAGCGCGGACGCGGGCGGGGGCGCGGGCGGGGGGCGGCGCGCGGGAGGGGCGGGCGCGGGAGGGGCGGGCGCGGCCGCCGGCGCCGGAAGTGAGTGAGAGGCGGGGGGCGGGGGCGGCGAGCGGCCGGCGCGCGGTCCGCCTGTGGGCCGCCCGGCCCTCAGCCCCTCCTCCGGCGCCTCGGCCGGACACGGCCGCCCCGTCCGCCGCGCGCTCCCCGCGCGCTCCCGGCCCGCCTCGCGGCCGCCGCCCGCCCGTCAGTCAGTCAGTCAGTCAGCCAGCCAGCCAGGCACGGGCGCGCGGCGCGGGAGCTGCGGGCGCTCGCGGCGTCTCTCGGGAGGCAGCGCCGCGCCCGGGAGGAGGCGGCGGCGGCGGCGGCGGCGGCGGCTGAGGAGCTGCCAGCCCGGGCCGCTGCGGGAGCCGGGGCCGGCGGACTGCCGAGCAGCTGTCGCGGTGAGTGCCCGGCTCGCCCTCGGGCTGGCGGGGGGGACACCGGCGGGCGCGGGGCTGCGAGGTGCGGCCGCTCCCCCGCCTCCATTTTCCCGGCGCCGGCGGCGGGCGCGGGGCGGACGGCCGCGCTGGGGCGGGGTCGCGGCCGGGGCTGCGGGGACCCGGCCCGGCGGGGCGGCCGGCCGGGCGGTGGCGGGGCTGGTAGGCCGAGCCTGGGCTGCACCCCGCGCCCCCGGGGGTCGCGGCGGAGGGAGACAATGCGCTGGGGCCGCCGGGGAGGGTGCGGTTGGCTCCGCGGAGCGGCGCGGGGAGCTGGCGGCCCGGACCGCGCGCGGGGCGGGGGCGGCGCCCGCCGCTCGCCGGCTGCGGGAGCGGTGTTCCCGCCGGGGCTCCGGGTCCCGGCCCCCCGCCCCGCCTCTGGCGTCGGAGGCCGGTGCGGAGACCGGGAAGGCGGCCCCTCCGGTCCCGGTGCTGAGGAGGCAGCTCAGTGGTTGCTCCCGGGCTTCTGCGCCCGGCGCGTCTCCCCGGGGCTGCGTTCCCGCCGGAAGCCCCAACCCGCTCCGGGGGGCGCGGGGCTGGGCGGGGCAGGGCGATAGCGTGAGGATGCCCCCGCGTTCAGGTGGCTTGGAAGATGGGTTTCCTCAGGCAGACACTGTCTTAGGGGGACCCCGCGGCGGGAGCTGGAAGCCGCAGGACCTGTGAGCGCGGAGACGGGGCTTGGGAGGAATCGCTGCGGGGGAGTCCAGGCGTGCCAGCCCGTCCCGTGTGTGTCCTCCTTCCCCTCCGCGGGAGGGACGGTGCGGGGAATCGGGCGGAATTGGAGGTTTTCCCTTAGTCGCCCCCAACACACACACACACACACACACACACACACACACACACAGCCCGGCGTGATGTCCGCAGCCTTTCTGCGTGTGGGCAGCCCGCGGGGAGGGCGCAGCCCAGGTAACGGGCTGCCAGGGGTGGGGGCAGTCGGGGTGTGGAACGGGCGGCGCCGCGTCCACGGGGAGGAAGCTTTCCGGCGGGTCCTGGGGACATGCCCGCTGCCTCGCTGGGCAGGGAGCCGCCCACAGGACCCGCCGCGGGCGGAGGTGGCAGCGGCCACGGGCTGAGCCGGGCGGCGGCGGGGAGCCGCGGTGCCGGGCTGCCCACCGCGCGTCCCCCCTCCATCGGGAACCCGGGGTGGGCCACCCGCTTCCCGCCCCCCAGGCTCGCCAAGGCTCCTGCATTGAGATAACGCGTGCAAAATGCCCAGCAAGGCGCGCCGAGGGTTGGGTTTAACCAATGTTAGTGCCCTTCTTCCCTCGTCTGCCGCTTTTAGGGGTTTTCTTGGGGGAAGGTGGGGAGAAGAAGTGGACGTAGGCAATTGGAATGCAATGAATTGTAGAATAAGATGTTGAAGCAGAGGTGCCAAATAGGGGAGCGAAGAGGAAAGAGCGTAATTCAAGATTGGGAGCCGGTGTGGGGATGGGAGGCGGCGCGGGGGGGGGGGGGGGGGGGCGGGAATAGATGGAAGTTTGGCATTTAAATGGAACCTTTAAGAATGGGTAGGATTTCAGCTGATGTGGATTTGGACGGGGAGGACCAATCCCAGTAGAGGGGGTGCTATTCTTGAGAAAGATTGGTGGAGGAAGAGCAATGTGTGTGTGTGGGGGGGGGGGGGGGGCAGGGGACAAAACAGACTCTCGAAAGCTTTTTAGTTCTTGTTGAGTCTGACCTTCGCAGATTGTCTCTGTTATTTTGCTTTTTGTGTTGTGAATGTCTCAGAAACCAGATCTAGGGTATTCAAGCAAGTACAGAGAGGTGTCTAGCAAAGCTTAACACTTGACTTTTTTGGGGATTAGACATTTTGTGTTATTTGGACTGATGTTCTCTTCTATTTGAATTTAATAAAGAATTATTTGTGGATAATCCCTCTCTCTGGTAGAAAAAAGCATCAGATTTTTCAGGTTCAAAAGCCTCACTAATGTTATATATTAAGTAACTGGCTGAAAGGAGTGGAGTAGTGGGCACATATTGGGTGTTTCTCAAACTTTTAATCCATAGCATTTGTTTTCACAAATATTTTAACACTTATTTTCCATAGAGTTCTTTTTAACCTTTGTCTTTGAAGATAATTTAAAAGGCCTGTTCTTTTGGTTTTGCTCCCTTTGGTTCCCACTCATGCGTAATTACTTACTGGGTTAGTGTGGTGGATGGCTGTCACGCTATTCATAGGTAATTAGACACACATTATAAAGTCTCAGGGCTTTGCCTTGGTTCTCAAGTAGGTGAATGCTAACATGTTAGTTGTGTTGATCCTCCCAAACTCTTATTTTAGGAAAATTAATATTAGTGTAACAGGTATGTGACCTCAGGCAAATTACTTATCAAGGATCTCATTATCTTTACCTATAAAATGAGAAATATGGATTAAATCAGCGATTTTAAACCTTTTTCATTTCATGGCACATCAACAAATTACTAAAATCCTGTGGCACCCCAAAAGTATGTATTTTGCCTAACACCCCCCCCCCAAAAAAAATATGTTTGATTCATTCACACTGAAGGGCTATTGTATTGGCTGTTGTCTTCTTCTTCTTCTTCTTTTTTTTAAACAATTTAAGGGAAAAGAGGTCAGTGCCCCTAACTAGTTAGTTATTGCACGTTTAAAAAAATTCTTGCAGCTCACCAGTTGAAAATCACTAGATTAGATCACTATTTTTCAGTCTTGTATTCTACTGAAGTCTGGAATTTTGAAGAGGACCTTCAGAGGTTCTGCAGATGTTTGATTTAAACCTCATTAAAAATGTATTTTAGCCCTAATGGTTTGGCTCAGTGGATAGGCCTGTGGACTCAAGGGTCTCGGGTTCAATTTCGATCAAGGGCATGTACCTTGGTTGCTGGCACATCCCCAGTAGGGAGTGTGCAGGAGGCAGCTGATTGATGTTTCTCTCTCATCGATGTTTCTGACTTTCTCCCTCTCCCTTCCTCTCTGTAAAAAATCAATAAAATATATTTAAAAATGTATTTTAAACCCATAATTTAAAAAGTGACTGTTATATAACATGTACTGTTTAAAATGCTTATATTAATTTACTTAATCCTTGCAATAATCCTATGAAGTTCTGTTAATATACAAGAAAACAGGCATAAAATACAGAGCTATAAAATGGTAGAACTTTATATCATAATTCTTAAACTTGTATTCTTTTTTCTTTTCTTTTTTTTCTTGTTAATCCTCACCCAAGGATATTTTCCCAATGATTTTTATAGAGTGTGTAAGGTAGAGAGGGAAAGAGAGAATGAAAAAGAGAAAGAGAAACATTGATATGAGAAGAGAAATATCAATTAGGTTGCCTCCCTCATTCAATCTGCAACTCGGGTACTTGCCCTTGACCAGGAATTGAACCCGTGACCCTTCAGTGCTTGGGTAGATGCTCTAATCACTAGGCTACATGGGCCAGGGCAAGCTTGTATTCTTAACCACATTCCTATACTGCCACCATAATAAAATAAATAACACACAAATACTTTTTATTGTGGTAAAAATGTATAACCTTATATTTACCATTCTAAGCATTTTAAGTGTACAGTTCACTGGTTAAGTGCATTCACATGGTTGTGAAACCATCATCACTATCCATTTCCAGAACTTTTTCTTCATCTCAAACTGAAACTGTTCATTAAACAGTAACTCTCCATCTCCTTTCCCTCTCCAACCCTTGGTAATCACTTTTCTCCTTCTATGGACTTGACCACCATAGAGATGTCACATAAGTAGTGTCATGCAGTATCTATTTTTGTTGTATCTGGCTATCTTAGCTTAATGTCCTCAAGCTTCACCACATTATAGCATGAATCACAATTTCATTTTTGGGGGCATATACCAGAAGTGGAATGGTTGGGTCTATATGGTAGTTTTGTTTGATCTCTTTTTAGAAACTACCCTACTATGTTCTATTATACAAGCAGTCATGGCATTTTACATTCCCACCAGTAGTGCAAAGGGTTCCAATTCTTCTAGCCTCCCCAACACTTGCTATTTTAGGTTTTTGTTTTATAATAGCCATCCTAATGAGAGAGAAGTGGTGTGTCGTCGTGGTTTTACATTTTTCTACTGATTAATGATGTTGAGCACTGTGTCATGTGCTTATTGACCATCTGTGTGTCTTTTTTGTAAGAATACCTATTCATGCCCTTTGCCCATTTTTAAAATTGGTTTTGTTGAGTTGCAAGAATTTTTTTATGTTTTCTGAATATTAACTGCGTATCAGATTAATGATTTGCAGACATTTTCCCCATTTTTGTGGAGTGGTTTTCACTCTATAAACTTTGATATTCAAAGTTTTTCATTTTAATGAAGTCCACTTTATTTTTGTCTTTTTTTTTTTTTTTGCCTGTTCTTTTTGTGTCATTGCCAAATCTAGTGTTATGAAGCTTTTCCTCTGTTTTCTTTTAAGAGTTTTAAGAGTTTTAGCTCTTATGTCCATTTTTAGTTAATATTTGCATATGATTTCAGGTAAGGGTCCCTCTTCATTCTTTTATTTGTGAATATCCAGTTTTCCCAGCACCATTTGTTGGAAGGACTATATGTACTTTCCCCATTGAATGGTCTGGGCATCCTCATGTACATGCATAATAAAATTTTAACACATTGAAAATTATAGTGCAACATGATTAGACATGGTTAATTGGGGGGGGCAAGCATTCTTTAGTATACAGCTTCTCTTATTATCTTTGTGCTTATTTGTGAATTTTAAATGGGTTAATGAATGATAAGGAAAGTTGGAATTTGCAGATTTTTTAAAAACTTAGCGTGTCTATTCATATGGAATTGTTTAAACAATACCTTACTATGGCAAATGCATTGTGTTTAGTTAAACAATGGGCAAGACCCAAGTCCGTTTCTTTGAGGGTATAATTCTGTGTAAATAATTTGTTTAGTAGCAAACATATAACACTATGTCCTGATGTCATAATATTAGATGTTTTTATAACTTTTTTTTAAAGGTTTGGGTTTG